AAGGCCATGCAATACACAGCTAATGGCTGCCCTCCTCCCACTCTCTCCCTCTCCCCGAGGCTCTGGGGCACTTGATGATCTCCTGAGGTCCTTTCCAACCTGAATTATTCTGTGATTCTTCAATATCACTCATGCTTGAACACGTCCATTTTCATAGCAGCTGGGCTTCCTAGAACACGCAGTTCCATCTAAACATATTCAACTCTATATGCAAACACACAGGCAAAACAATCTCAGGCAAAACAATCTCTGTTAACAGAAATTATCAGATATAACTTTACGATTCACATGAAATATGTAAATCTATGAATTTGTGTATTCGTGTTGTCCAGATACATACAGTATGTGAGACTTAATTTGCAGAGAGACAGCACTCCCTTAGAAGGAGTTGAGTGTCTTTGTGTCGAATAATGCACAATTCAAGTTTTTGGCAACATTACTTGGTATCACTTGAGTATAACGCTGGCCCTTACAATTTCGTCTTGTGCAGTGATTCAGAAATGGGAAAGGTTTCATCAAATAGCCATCCATTCACTGTCAAATTCAAAGGTACAGAACTCCACACATTTTAGAGAGCATATAAGTCCCAAACATGCGAACAGTTCCCAACTCTTAGACAAAAAACTCTGCTCTGGGGCTAACCATACTCTTTTTCCTGCATCCTCTAAGCAAGACTGTGAAGCTGGAATGAGCATATTTGAGCCTCTAGTTCAGTTTAGATCACTAACTCCTTCTGTTGGTTTTATGTGGGAGGCTAAATCGTTCACTGAATTCTGTATTAAACTTTCAAACAACTCATTCATATTTCATTAGGCATTTTCTAAGCCGTATTATACCGGTTCATACAATATAGACTGAAAGAAGAAATAACAAATGCTAACCACCACTTTTCGTTCAGAACAGGGATAAAAGGTGTTGTTGCTTTGTAAAGCTTCTCAGGAGTAAGTTGAATACAGTAATATAACAGTTTACATATACTTTTTGTGACCGAAAAGGTATAGTTTTCTCTTTATTACGGCTCTTGGGTCCTGCTGGCAACACTTTGCCTTTCTTCATTGCAATGGGAGTTTCCTCCCACTAGATGTTGCCCTTCCTCTACGGTTTGTGAAGGAAACCGTCCTCCCCGAATAAACCTGGCCCATCCGTGGGTGGGCTACCCTAAATGTAAAATAAGGGCTCATTCTTCACCCCATGGTGAGGGAAACGTCTTTCTAAACATCGACACAACAAAAGATGATTCCCCCTCCCAAGCCGCCCCCCGAAAAAGAAAAAAAAAAAGGAAATACCCCCAAACCAGTGTAAACATCTCAAAATATTAATAGAAGAAAAGCTGTCGGACCCATCCGATTAAGACAGCACGCACCCAGCACGTACCTAGTTCTGGTAGGCAGCTAATAGCAAACACTGAAATATGACTGTCATATCTGAAGGAGCTATTGCTCAGAAATGTGGTGGCACTGCACAGTCAAAGAAATTCAACTCCACGTTTATTGTCATAAAGCCTGGGCTGTCCATTAGACTATGTTTAATATTTAACGCCTTTTGTGGGGTGTGTGTGCCTAACACGACATTCTGTGGCAGCCTCGAATGTTACATGTACTAATATTTCACTGTCTCCCACACAACATAAAGATGAAACGCTGAGATTATGACTGTGTTACGCAACCCTGTGACTGACATGTAAGTAAAAATAGTCGATATATTTACCCATTTTAATACCTCCAGATGAAGTCCAGTTCTCCTCACTGGAGACAAATGTATCCAAATGAAAAGAGATGGGAAATGGAGAAGGAAATAATTGAATATTTTGTGAAAAGAGGGGGAAAAAAATCTGTTAAAGAAGCTAAATAAATAACCATAACCTTGCAGCCAAGCAAAGCATCCTCACTTGCTCAAAGCAGCAGTGAGATGCCCATAGAAGACAATTCTTCTGAAGAGCGGTGGCTTCAAACCAGATATTTCAGTGCTGGGCATGTTTTTGAGCCCAGAAAATGACAGCGATCTCAGAGACAAACACTGCAAGCTGGGTCTTTGCCCAGGACTGTTGAACAGGCTGTATGAACAGCATCTTCCCAGGAGAAGGCTCCTCCTTCTCTTTTTGAAGGCAAGTCAGAGGTCAGCTTGCCCATTGGCACGTTGGACACTGCAGTGGGACGGATCGGTTTGTGCCCCTAAAGAAAGACTTGGGACAGTGGCCCAAGTGAGAATCTTGTTACAGCTGTGTCCCCTCCAGCCCCTATAATTTGCCTGCCTTTGGACATCGTATGGTGCTGCCCAGGAGCACGGTGGGTCCTTCTCCCTTGGCTGGTGGAGATAAAGCTCTGGAGAGCCAATGCCTGAAGGAGCAGCGTAACTTACTCATCTGCAAAGCTTCCAAAAACGTGAGCTGGAAGCTCCATTAAGCTCAGGTCTTAAAGTCTGTTCTCAAATCTAACAAAGCTCAAAGCAAGTAAAAAGCTCAAGTCTTATGAATATTCAATATGAATATCAAGTCTTTAAGCTGGAGGGGAGCAGATTTAGATTGGAGATCAGGAGGGGGTTCTTTACTGTGAGGGTGGTAGAGCACTGGAACAGGTTGCCCAGGGAGGTGGTTGAGGCCCCTTCCCTGGAGATATTCTAGGTGAGGCTCGATGAAGCCCTGGGCAACCTGGTCTAGTTGGGGGTGTCCCTGCTGACTGTGGGGGGGGTCAGACTAGATGACCTTTGGAGGTCCCTTCCGGCCTGGGCAATTCTATGATTCTATGATTCTATGATTCTATGAATATGTTAGTGCTATTTTTGTTAACCTATATTAATAACTCACCTAACGCCAGAGAAATTACGTTTAACTACCAGATGAATTAAACATTACTTTTCTTTTTTTTTTTTTTAATATATAGGAGCATTGGTAAGGCTCACCTGCTGGTTGGTACAAAGTCTCCCACTGCAAATTCTGCTATGAATAAGTGCCCGCACGAGCATTGATATGATCTCATCTTCTGGGTGCACAGTTTAATCACGGTGCTCTCGATGGAGAGCCCACACGAGGGAAGCGGAGTTTAAAATACGAATCCGTGGGTGGCTCTCGAGGTGGCTTCTTGCTAAGTATGGCCGGGAGCAGGGTGACGTGGGGGGCGATGCCACATTCGAGAGACTGAAAGGGAAAAACAACTCCATGGAGCTGTCACCAGCAAAGCACAATGTGAAAATTCCATGTGCTTTTAGTCTGGTGAATTGACCCTAAAATAGTATAAGGGAAGAAAACAAAGATTCCATGTGTGCTTGCAGATAAGTCACATTATTTTTCCTTTTTTTTTTTTTTTCCTACAGCAACAAACTTACATGTTTAAATGAGTAGCAAACCAACTTAATTCAGGCTTATTTTATTTTCCCCTGATCTTCCAGAACTTCACCTCTCTCCTACTCCTCTCAAAAAAACAAAAACAAAAAAAAAAAAAGAAAAGGAGAAAGAGAGAAACAAGCTGCTTGTTACAAAATCTCAGAAAAACATCAGATTAACTACTTCGCCATTTTGCTCCCACAAACGAAAATACTTGGTGGTCAAAATCCTGGCAGCTGGATTTCCCACATGGAAAAAGTAATGTGCTGCATCTCTGCTACCCTACTCTTAGTCTTGTTCGAAATTAACTCCTGTGACTTCCGAGTGCCTGGTGCCCCAAGCTCACTCTGTCATCTGAGACGACAACATCTCCCCGTCAGCTCTCCCTCGACACATCGTGCTGCTTTATCTTCCCTTTTCAAAACTTCTATTTCTCAACTCCCCCTCTTCTTCCTCTTCTTCCTTTTCTTCCTCTTCTTCTCTTGGGCAAACTTAGCTTGCTTCTTGAGAACTAATTTGCCTTTCCTTCCTCTCCCATTTCTCAATTTTTGAAGGACTTCTTACCCCCTGCCTCTGCATCTTTTGACTCCTACTTCATGGACCCTTATGCATTAGGGAATTGGCAGCAAGGTAGCCCAGAGGGGGCTTCTTTCACCCCTACGACGGGAAGGCATTGATGGTTGCCTTCATACTCCTCAGATCTTCCTATCCTTTCAGCTGTTCTCCTGAGGAAGAAATCACAGTGGAACTCCCAGAGGAGAGAAACTGAGCGCATCGAGGCAGCATCTCCGTGCTGTTGCTTGCAAAGAGATGCAGAAATGTAGATGAAATTCAAGCGAAAGCCTGAAACGTAATTTAAATGCTCTCCGCCAACGCATGTTAAATAGGTGCTTATGTTTCACGCAGATCTCGTTGTAACTAATTAAACCAAATTAAATCTGAGCTGTAAGGGCACCCAATTACACACATATCCACGCAGGCACGAGGAGCCAGGCTCTCCCGGTAAAAAGCGCCGTTTGACACGGCGGCTGGAGGGGTCCCCATCGGCTCCGATGCCCCCTTGTCGCCAGGGAGGCGAGCCCCGACGGCGGGGCGCCCCCCCTCCCCAACACGGCGCTCCCGGCGGGGGATGGGGGTCGGCGGGAGGTTTTCACGGGGTCCTTAAGGAGCTTAAAACCCGCCGGAGGGAGAGTGTCTTTGCAAGCCCGGAGGCGGGTGGGGGCTGCACCGCACGCTCGCGTTTCCCCCCCTTGTGAAGGCGACAAGAGGGAGGGGGACACGGTCACCTCGCTGGGGGGAGGGGGTTCTGACTTGGCCGGGGTTTGGACAATCTTTGAAAGATCAGCCGGGGGACGGCCACGGCTCCCTTCGGCGGGGCAGCAGCCTCTCGCCGTTTCCCCTCTCGCCGTTTCCCCGGCTCCGGCACCTCGGGACGAACGGAACGGGGTTTCTCGCCGGCTCGGTCGGAGAAGGCGGGGAGCGACTTT